AGAGAGAGAGAGAGAGAGAGAGAGAGAGAGTCCTTGTCCCAGTTTGCTGGCATGCAGCTCCTAAAACCCTTGGGATTTCTAGAGAAATGCTTGTCCTGGGTGCTAATGAGAGGACGGGTGGCTGGCAGGTCCTAGGTAGCTTTAGAAGCATGTTGCTCACAGGAAAGACTTAGGCAGGACTCAGGGAGAAGGTAGGGACTCTTCAGTCCCCAGGGAAGGAGAGAGGGGCTGACATTCAAGCTAATCACCAGTGACAGCGGTGCCCAATGCTGTCTATGCAGTGACACTTTTATAAAGTCGCAAAAGGACGAGGTGTTAGGAGCTCTGGAGCACTGACCACATGGCAGTCCCTAGAGGGCGGTGGCCCCAGACAGGGCATGGAATCTCCCTCTCCATTTTCACCTGGCTTGTGTCTCTCATCTGTGTCCTCTCAAATATCCTCTGCAATGAATGGGGAAACCAAGGAAGACAATTCCCTAAATTCTGGGAGCGGTTTAAGCAGATTAATATAACCCCAGGGGAGGGTTTTAGAAACCCCAATTTATAGTCCATTGGTGAAATATTTCAGAGACCAACCTGAAGTAGGGGGCAGTTTTGGGGAACTGAGCGCTCATCCTGAGAGGTCTGAAGATGTCTCTGAGAAGATCGTGTCAGAATTGAATTGAATCAGAGGACACTCATCTCTACTACTGGAGAAGCCACCACACAATGGGTTGTTTGCTGATCTCAGAACTGTCCTGTGTTGTGCTGTCAGAGTGGGATACATGTGGGAGGAGCAAAAGCAGTTTGTTTCATTCTACATGTAAATGTATGTTAGCTTTCTGTTGCCTGCACCTAGAGAGCCTGAGTTCTTAAGGGAGGGACTAGGAAGCAGGTCAGGATTAGGGTTAAGCAAGCAAGGTACCCAGCAGCTAACAGGAAGAAGGCCCTGGCTCTCAGGCTCATGCAAGAACAGGTTGGCATCCAGGGTGACCACCTTCTGAAACTGTGTGTCTTTGGACTTCTGTTGCCCCACTCTTTGTATGAATCCAGAGCATTTGGCCACAAATTGAAGCTTTAATTTTCTGCAGCACTCAAAATTGCAGTTGTCCCCCAACTCATTTCGTTGTTTGTTAAACAAACAGTTGAGTGCCTCCTGGGCGCCCAGTGCTATGATAGGTGTTGAAGGTGGCAACAGGTGAGACTCCTGTCTTCGGGAGACCCAGAGCCTAGCAAGAACAATAATGCTAAAAATATAACTTGAGTACCATGTCTTAGAAAAGGGCGTTATGGTGTGGGGTGGGTGAGTGTAGCAAGAGAACCTGCAAGTGGTTGAGTTGAGGACTGCAGGGGGCACGTGATTGGACTGTAGAGCCAGTGTGTGTGTGTGTGTGTGAGAGAGAGAGAGAGAGAGAGAGAGAGAGAGAGAGAGAGTGTGTGTGTGTGTGTGTGTGTGTGTGTGCACCCACATGTGTGCCAGAAAACAGAAGTCCCACAGGGAAGATGGCACAAGCTTGAATGGTCTCTGTATTCCCCCAATAAACACTGTTGAAAACCTAGTGGAACTAGACCTGGATGAGCTTTCGAGATTATAGAACTGAAAACCACCCTGCCTTCGAGCTACTGACCTTAACGGTGCTGGAGCCAGACAAGCTAAACCTTGACCATGCAGAGTAATGGATTCTATGGGAAAACTGAGTCAGGCATTCAATTCAGCAAGTCTGCAGAAGAAGGCTTCCAGGAGGGCTGATGTCTGCTGAGCTGGTCTCAAAGAACAAGGGGGCAAGAGAAGTCATAACAAGGAAAAGGCACCTGGCTGAGGAGGTGAAGGTGCGAGGTATGATTCTCTAAGATGATTAGATGCCCAGGCCAGCCCATGCACCTCAGTATGGACTGGAAATGCTGTGCATTTGCAAGAACAGCAGTGGAAATAATACTCAAGTAGAGCCATAATTACATCATCTTTCTGTAAGTCCCACGCACCAGCTTTTCTTCCAGCACTGGAACAGATAGCTGTTTCCTTAGCGGAACACAGGATGAAGCAGTTGGCTTACACTGAAGGATTTGTCCTGCATGAAAAGATGCACGTCTTTAAACGAGAATGGAGTTTAGTGCCGTGAGGTATTGCACCGTTAGATCTGAGAAACCAGAAGAAATTAAAATGGACCAAGAAACCCTCAGATATTGTACTGTTTCTCTACAGCATGGCTAATTGAGGAGAATGGCAGATAATTGCCTGCATTTTTAAACAGTATCTCTCATATTCTCGCTGTCTCCCTCCCTCTCTCTCCCCCTCTTCCCTGTCCCTCTCCCTCATCTTCCCTCTCCCTCCCTCCCTCTCTCTCCCTCTTCCTTTCCCTTTCCTGCTGTCCCTCATTATATAAATTTGGAAACACACATGATGCAATCCGACTATTTTGCAGGAAAAGCTGAAGCTGCCACCAGTTCTCCTGCGTCAAGTCTGAGTTCCACTCGGTAATTGTATGTCATCCAGCAAGTTACTTCTCTTTGCCTCAATCTCCTAATCCACAAAGTAGGGAAATAACACTGTTAGGAGAAATAAACGAGTCAACATGTGTGAAGCACTCAAGTGCCTATAAATAAGAGTTGTTTACACTCTTGGCCAAATGGACTCAGAGCGTCTTATCACTGAAGACTGTTCTGGGTGAAGGCAGGGAGGAACCTGTTTCTGGCCCCAGGAGCCGCTGCTGAGGGGCTGATGGTCATAGGTCAGATGTGAGACAGCAAGGCCAAGCTGGGCTTTGAGAACTGACTAAGCAGAGGCGGGGCAGGCGGGACATTTGAAACCCCCGGTTCAGCTCCAACCTGCACCGCCTGAGGACCAAGCTTCCAGTACAGATCATCCAGTCTCCGCCACTCCTTCATGTTGTGGACACCCAGGGCCGCCTTGTGGGTGGCCGAGGCCAGAAGGCCAAGGTACTGCCAGCAGCTCTTCCTTTGGCCTCTAGCCAACTGGGACTTTTGCCTGGAATAAAACACTGAAGACTCTGCCAGCGCTGATCTGCAGTAACCTATGGGGGGCAGGTGTGTCTTCGATGGTTCCCCCACCCACCTTCTCCCTGGGCATCTTGCCTTCTTCTCTTCTGGCCTTTGCACCTGAAAGTTTGTCTGACGAACCCAAGCCTCGCTGCCTCAAACTCTTCTCCTCAAGGCCCCAGGCCAAGTCCTTCTTCCTCTTGAGACTTCATCAGCCTACAGCTCTGCGTGTGACTGCAGCCCAGCAGCTTGAGGGTCACCTGTAAGCTCGAGAGAGATGCAGGATCCTACTGAGTGGTGCTCACCTCTCTATGGTGCTCCTCAAGTAACTAGTGTGCATGTGAGAGTCTGGGGAGTGATCCCTAAGCTATGTGGTCACTTTCTCTGCCTCCTACTCTCTGGTGGGTGGGGCCAGTCGATCCAAAGCTGGCTACATCCGCTGTGCAGGGAGTGCCCTGTTGCTGCCCTGTTCCCCCCTCAGAGCACCAGCTGTGCACTTCCTGCCCTACTGATCTTTATTTTTTCCCCACTAAGTTTATTGGTTCATTTAATGCAAATAGTACAGTTACACTCATCATTGGGATCTTGTACCTTTACATGACAGGTCTTGGTTCTCATTTTTTCCCCTTGTCCCTGGCCTCAATTCACCCTCTTCACCCTTCCCTATTTATATTTTTTTCTTTTTATTGAGTTTATTGGTACAATCTAGGTATACAATACAGTTACATTCATCCTTGGGATTCTGTACCTTTACATAATAGGTCTTGATTCTCATTTTTTCCCCTTGTCCCTGCCCTCCCTTCACCCCCTCCTCCCCTCCCCATT